GCAAATATATGGACTACTACAGCTGCAAGACAGAAGTGAAGATGAGAAATCTCGGCGTGCTTTTTTTCCTATACAGTACATGCAGTTCATAAATGAGACTCTTCAAACTTACTTGTAGTTTTTAGTTCCCTTTTCCTTCGTCTTCGTTCAAGATGCGATTGCGAAAGTCGTTGACCATGAGGGGCAGCCCATCATGGAGGGCGATTTTCGGCTCCCAGTTCAGAAGCTCCTTTGCCCTACTGATGTCTGGCTTCCTCTTGTGCGGGTCGTCAGCAGTGTTGGGTTTAAACTCAATGGTTGCACTGGGATCTATCACCTTCTTCACAACCTGTGTTCCCAAAACAAACCAGCTTATTATCCAACTAAACAGCTTATTAAGATGGAAGGAATATAGATAATTAGACATCTTAAACAGACCTCGGCGAGCTCCAGCATTGTGAACTCCCCTGGATTTCCCAAGTTGAAAGGCCCAACATGCTCACCTTCCATTAGTGCTGACAATCCATCAACCTTCAGCAAAACATTTTAAAATATACATCAGCATCAAACTTCAAGATATTTAAGAATCTTGCATTAAACATCACAAATATGATAAAGATTCAGAGATTGGGAATTAGATTCTGATGAGTAAAGTGGTGGAATTTGCACAAAAAACAAGGTATTGGAATCGGAGCATGATGAGTTGGACGTGTTGAAGATATATAAAGAATGTGTACCAAGTCAGAAACATATTGAAAGCTTCTTGTTTGCTGCCCATCACCATAAACTGTCATGGGTTGCTTGCGAATAACCTACACAACAATAGAACAGAAATTAAATACATCTGATGGATGCTTATTAAAAGAAATTCAAATTTCAAAATGAAGTATTGAACAACTTTAATGAATTGTAATTATCCATAGATCAATTACTTTTCAACACACAAGAAAATATGCATAAACCAACCTGTGCTACAAAGTTACTGACAACACGCCCATCATCTAGGGACATGCGAGGTCCATATGTGTTGAAAATACGAGCAATGCGCACCTGAAAAATGATAATGTTGTAATTAAACTTATCAGGATGCCACTTAGATTGTGAATGTAACCAGGTCAATCTAGCTACCCAAGTCACAGTGTACATGAGAAAGGAAAAATTCATAGAGAACATAGTATAAGATTGCATAAAAAAAGAGAAATTATGTGATAAACTTTTGTTTTCATACAATGCCATTGCTGTTATTTCAGAACTCTTGGAATGAGGCTTGATACATGTTATTCCAAGTTAAATTTTCTAATATGTCTCATTTGGAGTAAGAAATAGAGTGTACATATTCATAAACTACATAAAGAATATTATTGAGCACAAAAATATGTGAGTGCAGTGACAAGAATGCCTTGGTAAAATGGAATTGAGAGTCCTTTGTTGAGTGCAGTGACAAGAATGCCACTCAACTATTCGTTTTTTGTCAAAAATGGCATTATTGAAAAGAAAAAAGGCAATGGCATTCTCTAAAAAACAAATAGTAGAGTGGCATTCTTGTCACTGCACTTGTAGTAGAGTGGCATTCTTGTCACTGCACTTGTATTCCGTAACGTAAGAAAGCATACACGGAGTAACTTTTAAGAGCATCAACAATGGGGTTGGTTGATTTATATATCAATATTCAATACATACTTTTAAAAAGTATTAAATACATAAACCGACAATTGGAGAATAAGTATACTCAAATGAAAAGTTGATTGATTTAGTCACAGATGACACGGGTCAGGAGAGTGGAATATGAAAATACTTGTACATGACCTCTCACAGTCATGCAACAGCTCTGTTAATTTGTAACGAAGCTCTATCTTTGTTGAAGGGTTGATTGATTTAATAATTTAATAAGAGAAAGAGAGAACAGAAAACCAAACACTTCCATGTGAGATGGTATGCCACCTTAGTATAGAGAAAATACAAGGGCACATAGGGGAAAACCGCCGTACATTGTCCTATAGAACTATGCCTTGCAAAGTTACAACTTGGTCATCAAGAAAGAGGTAGTATCTAAATAGTTAAGGCATCATCAGCTAGCAACATAATGCCCCTGGCTACCTTTGATACAGAGAGGTCACCAAAGAAAACAATACAATAATTTTCAAACGAAATGGCTTTGTAGGCACGAGAAAAGCAGTGACACTTTTGACACTAGAGGACCAGCAGTTCAAACATGTGTGCATCGGGTTCTTATAGAAGCTAGTAAGCTACAAGCTGCCATAGTAAGATATTTATTTACCTCCACTCCTGCACCACGGTGATAATCCATAGTCAAAGTCTCAGCAGTGCGTTTTCCCTCGTCATAGCAACTGCGCTCACCTAAACTTTGCACGCCATTCAATCTCAATTAATTAAAACACTTAACCAAATAATCTGGATGAGACTTAACATGATTCAACAATGATACTCTGAGCTGAAGGTATTACCTATAGGATTAACATTTCCCCAATAAGTCTCCTTTTGGGGATGCTCAAGTGGATCTCCGTACACTTCACTAGTACTAGTAAGCAAGAACCTTGCACCAATCCTCTTAGCTAGTCCCAGCATGTTAAGAGTACCCATAACATTTGTCTTGTGAAGATTACAGTTAAGGTTTTCAAAGAATATTTCAAAACACAGAAGGGAAATCTTAGCATCCATGTATAAATGACAGAAAATCAAAACCCAGCATTCAATCAAAAGAGCATCCAGTTCATCCACACATATCTTCTTGAATTAAACAGACAAACAACACTAATAAAAGTGTCAAAGAAAAAGGATATGATTGTTTTAACAGGGTTATACTTGTAATGAACGGGGGAAGCAGGGCAAGCCAAGTGGTAGATCTGATCGACCTCGAGCAAAATGGGTTCGACAACATCATGGCGAATGAGCTCGAATCTGGGATTCCCAAAATGGTGCATCACGTTCTCCTTCCTCCCCGTGAAGAAATTGTCAATGACGATGACATCATCGCCTCTCTTCATCAGCTTATCGACCAAATGGCTCCCGACGAACCCTGCCCCTCCGGTGACCACAATGCGCATCCTCCTCCTCCCAATCCCCACCGGCACCCGCCCGATCCCGGCGCCATTCCTGGAAGGGGTGTAAGAAGAAACGGCTTCCTTGTCGGAGACACGAAAAGGCCGCGATCTCGGGACCTGAGGAGAGGAGCTGAGATGCGAAAGGCTGGGCTGGATGATGAAGAAAGTGGAGCCAATGAGAATGCCCACAAGGATGAACAGGAGCCTCTGTTCTCGAAGGAGATAGTTGATGGATCTGGACAGAGATCTAGGGTGTTTCAGGGTTTTGGGGGAGTACGGCGGCGTGCTCTGCGCGGTTTCCTCATCTCTTCTGTGATTCACGCTCCCCTGCTTATGCAATTTCATGGCGATTCCCTCCCTTTCCTCCTATGTCTTTTTTCCTTTACTTCCGATATCTGATTTCTTCAGGCGGAAATGGAGATTCAAATTGATCTCAACCCGATATACAAATCGACTGTGTATTTATATATATAATGAAAGAAAGGAAGAAGAAGAAGAAGAAGAATTCTGAACTTCTCCCCTGTTTGGTGCAGTTAACCAGAGAGAACAGAAATTCGGGTCAGATGTAATGGGCCGGGTATGCGGCCCATTTACTCGACGCTCCAGAAATGTAGTCGTGTACCAAACTCTGTAGTACTAATTGGTCCAGCCCGTTAAGTTGTTTTTGAGACGTTCTGGCAAGTTATCCATAGTGTTTTCACATAGTGGCTTGATCCACTAATACTACTCTTCAGTTCTTTTCGATTGGAAAAATAGAATTAAATGTTGAAAAAAATTGAAAAAAATTGGAAAATGCTGCAAGTAATTCAAAGAAATTGGAAAAAATTGGAAGGAGTTAGAACAAATTGGGAAGAGTTAGAAATAACTGGAAAGAATTAAAATTATAATCTCTTTTCTTTTTTTTTGTGCCATTATATTTTATCTCAAGACGTACTTGTAATTTCTTGTGACTCATGCTCTTTCTTTACTTTTTAAAATCAATATCAATAATATGATTTTTTCGGTATAGATAGTCCTAGTGGCAAGTTAGATAATAGGATGAGTATATTGCATGTTGTGTTATGCATATAAGATATTATCTTTTAAAATATTTGGTGTCACGTTTAAACTTTGAAGCCACAATTGCATATTTCAAGACTTATTTCATGTCATTTTCACACATTTCTCTTAATTTGGAATTTTGGAATTTTGGAGTTTTACTCCAAAAATTTAAAATAAATTGTTCAGTTGATTAACATTTTATTTTGAAATAGTTAGCTCCAAATAAATTGTTACTCATTTTCGTTACTCATTTTAAACAAATAATATAGTCATGTCACTTCTTGTTTTGTAGGGATTTTGATGTAATTTTTTAATGTGTTAGTTTTATTTTTTTTGTTTCGTTACACTTTCAAATAAATTGTTTTAAAAATAATTTTAATCAAATATCATAAATCAAAACAGTTAATTTAAATTGGGACAAAGTGAATATTAGGGTGGTTTGGTTTTTGCATGTTGCTATGCGTCTTTAGGAAGAAAATGACCTTTTAATTATGATATTCAACTCAAAACTTGTGACTTGTGACCTTAATTCTATAAAGACTCCTTTCCCCTCCCTCCCCTTTCCTTTCTTAGCTCCTTTTATCTTCTTTATATTTGACTTCCCGACACCCAAACGTGAAGCGCCACTACGCAACAACAATAACGCCATCCCGCCCCAGCTGTTCTTATCCATCATCATCTTTGTGCCCAAAAGAGGGGGAAAAAGAAAACCCACATTTTATCTGAACTCTCTGAAAAGAAAAATCAAATCTTGGAGATAAATCTTTCCCAGCAGTTCAAGAGAAGATCTACTATACTATACCCGTGAGTCCATTTCTCTATGATTTCTTTTCTTTTCTTTTCTTTTTCAAGAATTCTGTTTTAAATTTCTACTTCTGAAGATGAAACTTTCTGGAACTATTGAATCAGTGACCAGAAATGTTAGAGATCGATTCGAGAATGAAAAGAAATCGAATAGCTTACCTAAATCAGGGCGTATCTGAATAAAATAGAAAGGATGGTGAACTAGGAGCGTTACGTTTGGAGAAAAATTTAATCTTTTTCCTAAAGGATCATGATGTTGTTTTGTACTGATCATTACCATCTTCGTTAGGATTTAGTTGTCCACTCTTCCATTTTGGGTTTTCTGGTGATGGATTTTAATCTACCAAAATTATGATGTGATAATTGTTAATATGAGGAGTTGAAGTTATACGAATCATTTCGTGTTTTAAGAATTCAATACCTTCTCAAGAGAAGAGGGATGTGTTTATAGGCCTATAGTAGTGAATCATTCAAGGGAAGTTGTGATCTACATTCCTAGGATGGAAGAGTGGATCACGGATATCAAGTATTCGATTTCGCTAACCATAGTTGTGCATACCTATCTTCATCACATTGGATCCTCACTTCCGGGTCTTGTCTACCCGATCCATTATGCGTGGGATCCAAACCCTGTTAAAATTTGCGAGCTTCGGTGGTTTGAACTTGAATATATTAAGGTCGGGTTTGGGAACAACGTTTTCTATTAGCATGAGCGTTTTGGATAATTTTTTAAATGGTGTAGATTCAGTTTTAAAATTCTAGCGTGAGATAGCCTTTTCAAAATGCTAAAGCTATTGCCAAATGGACTCTAATACAATATTAATAATAAAATGGGTTTGGGTATATGGAGCCCAATTTGGCATACACTCTTGGTTGGGGCAGTCTCATTATACCCATCATTTGGAAATAATTGTCTGTTTACCATATTTGGAGAACAGCTTACAGTGAAATTTGAGGTGTTTTGGAAATCAAACGATTAAATACGGACGGATAAAGTAGATTATTATCTATGAAATGGTTATATATGTTTTTGTACATAGATGATAAGTTCAATCTGCATGTAACTTTCTGTGCATCAAGCACTTTTACTTTTTGTCTTGTGCACATATATTTTAGTTTAGTCATGGCTATAAGTGGTTGATTTTAATGAGAGAAAAAAGTTCTTGAAAGGATTGCTTTCTGCAACTAGAGAGGATTTAGTTCAAAGGTGTGGTTTTATATGTTCATTATTATCTCTTTAATAGTTTCTTTTTTTGCTTTGTTTTTGTTAACGAAGTTACCATATCATAATATTCTGCGAATATTATGTTAAAGACGTTACCATATCATAATATTCTGTGAATATATATATGTTCGTAATTATCTTAGTTTAAAATCCTACCTTTTGGACATCTGCACAATCATTCTTCTAATTCTATCACTTTATTTTATTCTTTCTGCAGAAAGATCACAGAATTAATCTTCATTTAATTGCTTGGAGTCCATTTTATTTGGGTGCTTGCCTTAATTCATTTGGATCTGAATGATGGGTATGTTTGAGGAAATGGGTTTTTGCGAAAATCTCGATTTCCTCTCGGATACCCCTGGTTGTACCGAAATTGCCCTCCCACAAGTGGAAACCAAAGCATCTGTAGCAGTTGAAGATGAGGAAGAGAGTGATGAAGACATGGATGTGGATGAGCTTGAGAGGAGGATGTGGAGGGATAGGATGCGTCTGAGGCGGCTGAAGGAAAAGAACAAGAGTATTAAGGAGGGTGGTGGTGGTGGTGGTGGTGGCTTGAAGCAACTCCATTCCCAGGAACAAGCGCGCAGGAAGAAGATGTCCCGTGCCCAGGACGGAATCTTGAAGTACATGTTGAAGATGATGGAGGTTTGTAACGCCCAGGGTTTCGTTTACGGGATTATTCCGGAAAACGGGAAGCCGGTGAGCGGCGCTTCCGACAACCTCCGCGCTTGGTGGAAGGAAAAGGTGAGGTTCGACAGGAACGGGCCCGCCGCCGCAGCGAAGTTCCAAACCGAGAACAACATCCCCGGGAGCATTGACCGGTCAACCGTTGCGGTATCGACCCCTCACACTCTGCAAGAGCTCCAGGACACCACGCTCGGCTCCCTGCTCTCCGCTCTAATGCAACACTGCGACCCTCCTCAGAGGAGGTTCCCCTTGGAAAAGGGGGTGGCCCCGCCGTGGTGGCCCACAGGGGACGAGGAGTGGTGGGCCCAGCTGGGTATGCCAAAGGACCACGGGCCGCCGCCCTACAAGAAGCCCCACGACCTGAAGAAGGCTTGGAAAGTCGGTGTCCTCACCGCGGTGATCAAACACCTGTCGCCGGACATCCCCAAGATTCGCAAGCTCGTCCGGCAGTCAAAATGCCTGCAGGACAAGATGACAGCAAAGGAGAGCTCTACTTGGATTGCTATAATCAACCAAGAGGAGTCCCTGGCTAGGACGCTGCATCCGGATACCTACCCAAACAGGTCTTTCCCTGGGGTAGTTAGTAATCCGGATGCAGGCGATTATGATGTGGGGCCCTTATTAGCTCCGGTGAAAGGAGAGATTCTCGACGTGGACTCGGATTTCCTCGAGAAGAAGAGGAAACGGGACCCACTCGGCGAGGAGCGCAGAGATCTTAAGAGAACATATACATATCAGTATTCTCATTGCCCTTTTAGCAACCTGACCAACCCAAATGTTTCGCCTAGCTTCGGGCTTCCCGAAGATGGTCAGAAAATGATTTCAGAACTCATGTCATTCTACGACCACACGTTCCAACAAAATGGGAACAACTTCAATCCGGTCGAAGCAGCGGACCACAACAACCTGCTGCAGCCCACGACAGCTCAGCAGCAACTCCAACTGGATGACTTCTTCAAACAGACAACCCGTTTCCCGTCTGCGGATGCCCAGTACCCGTCTCCATTCGACCCGAAGCCGATTGAGTTCGGGTTCGACTCCCCATTCATTTTGGGTGGAGTTGACTACTCCGCGGACCAGCTGCCAAAGCAGGACGCGACCACTTGGTACGTCTGAATGAGAAAAACAAACTTAGCTGAATATGAATGTCATTATGGTCCCTACAAGTGCAGTTTCTGGAGAAGGAAGAGGAGGGCGAAAATGTCATTGTACATAAGAAACCAAGAACCGACATCCCGTTTCCGCCACACTGTATGTACTGTTACGCCATGCTCGTTTGCTTATTTTCGTTTCGCTTTGAACGCGTTTTTTTATTACGTAAAATCATGAAACTTGTGTACGAAAGTACGTGTATTTGGATTTTTGGACGATTATGAGACGCGGTAAGTAACTATATGTTTTATCGGACCATATTTATTGTGTTCGTGTTGTTGTGTTTATTTTATTTACTGTGGGATTTTACTGGATTTGTTGTTGTACGACACGAATATGTTAAAAATAATGTAGTTTTTTATTTTATTTTAAAGGCATTGCATATCATATCAGTGTCATCTCATATTGGTAGGAGAAAAAGAGTAGAGATTTATTGCATTTTGGCAGAGAGTTTATATTATGTATTATTAGTTGTTTGGTTGGAGAAAGTCTTCTCACGTCATTTACCAAGCGGTTGGTAGGAATGCCATTTCATTGCCAGTTAAGGTCTTGAGAGTTTGTTTTATCATGAGAAGGGGGGAAAAATTTGATAATTAATATTCAAAGGAGAAATGGTTGCAACTTGCAAAGATAATCAATATTGCATCATTTTGAGTAAATTCTAAAAAATTGAGTTTCTTATGGCATCTTTTAGGTCGTTACTTTGCCCTTGTCTAGTCATCATCGGTGTTATTGGGTGTTTTTATAGCGCTTAGTGACAAAATACATGTTGAGTTGTATTTTTCCACTCTAAAATATCAATTCCGACTTAGCTTATTCTTTCTCATTGTCTTCTTCGCGCAGAGTACTTTTGTTCTATGTCTAATCATGACCCGTATCTTTTTCCTGCCCCATTACTTTTATATTTTTTCAGATTCAGAATTAGCCCATCATATCTTCATGTCTCTTGTTCCCGCCATTGTAGGTTTGAATTTTGTAGGCAAATCTATAGTGAATCCAAGAGACCATTTTGAATCTATTCAAGTTTCTCTCTTCTTTTTCTTCGAGATCTAGCATCATTTCTAAGGCCTCTTCAATTTACGAGAATTTTTTTTAAAAAAATCATTATTCAATTTTTATTTATATCCTTGGTTTTCTTACCGAAATGGTTTCATTAATATATTACTCCGTATAAGAGATCAGTTTTTTTTTCCGAATTCATAAATGAAACGAGGTTCTTCATCTTTTTGGCTGGATTCAAATTAATATGAATAAGTTTGATGTCATATTATGAGGCAAGAAGAAGATTTAGAAAGTTTTAAGTATGAAAAAATAAAAAAAATTAATGAGAGATAAAAGCAACGATTAGGCTTACGCAGAAGAAATCTGCGTGAAGAAGACTATGGGAGAGAATGAGCCCATGTTCTCTCCAGCTTATTTTTTGACGTATTACTTATTCTTATTGGAATTAGATTAGATCTGCTTAGAAATAGTTTTAAATATAATTATATTCAGATTAGATCAGAATTTATTCCAATCAGATCAGGTCAAGGAAACATGGCCTAAGGATAGGCGGATTTGGTAGTTTAGAGTGAAAAAATACCACTCGGCATTTTAATTTGTCAATCAGCGTTAAAAGACAACATTCAAGTAAAATTGATAATGACTAGGTAATTATGGAGTAATGACGTAAATAAAAGAAAAATGTAGGAGTAACGATATAAATAAATGGATTTGAGAGTATTTATATAAAATCTATAATATCTGAGGAGATTCTTGTGAATTTTGCATCTGTTTTTTAAATCTTACTCACAAACTATTCGGGTATTGAGATGTTTCCAAGTATCCAAATGGAAAAATTTAAAGATAGGGTTTATTTAAAGAATCCTAGAACTCGATATAAGCAAAATAAATTAAAATATTCTTGTTACTACTAGTTTTGTAGATCTTTTGATGTAGTTTTTTAATATGTAATTTTTATTTTTTAATTCTATACCATTTGTCATATAAAATGGTTTGAAAATAATTTCAGTCAAACATCGTAAACCAAAACAGGCATTATAAAATGGGACGGAGGTAGTAGGATGGAAAAAGTATTTTCGTAACACTAAAAGCAAAAGTAGATTAAAAAATGTAATGCATTCCCAAATACAATCGACATAGTTATTTTCTTTTTAAATTTGGCAAGAAACTCTTGACAATAAAATACAACATTGTAATGGAGTCAATATCATTAAAAAAAGAATATATGTGGCACCATAGTATTTGTCAAGTTTTGATTTTTTACAATCAATAAAGGTTAATTACTTAATTTCAATTAAAATCGTATTGTGAAACAATATACTCTATTTTATGAAAAGTGCAAATTTGACACTTTAGCACGGAGTGAATAATTGAAATAAAATTAGACTTACAAAGGTAAGAATAACTTATTACTAATAAAAAAAATGGTCCTACAAATTTTACCGTATTTTTATGTCAAATTCCATTGATGACATTAGAATTGTCCATAGGTCTTCTAATTATTTATCAGCACACTACAATTGCCTTTTGTCAAAGTTACATGAAACCAGACAAACCATAGAGCAGTAACAAACCACAAGAAGAATGTTTTCCAAGTTCCAAAAGCCGCCTGCTCATCCGGTTCGCATGGCTTTGATCCAATCAATCTCCACGTGAAAATCTCCGGGGCCAGACTCTGCGCCCGGAACTCCGCCTTCGGCATTCACAGATAGAGACATACCGAGAACACGAGACGGATTCATCTCCATCTTTGCATTAATTATGTTCCCTCTCCATGTCGGCACGTACCTGGAGAGAGGTATCTGTGGCAAAACACGAACTTAAATTGGCATGAAGTATCATACTTTCTTTTGGATGATGTTATAAACTGAGTATTGATTCAGCTCTTTTTTGCATAGAGCAAATGATGGAAGGGCACAAGCTGTTTGTTGGAATTTTGAGCTTATTCCCTGTTAGAATATGCTTTAGGGTTTGATAGTTTTCCTAGATTTTTCCTATTCTTGTTATAGTAGGAACAGAATTATGGTAGGAATAGAACTTATTTGATTTACCCTCTTCTCATATAAAGAGGGTTGATTCTTTGTATTCAACAAGACAATTCAATATAGAATTATTCTCCATTATTATTTTTCTACACTCCCTCCAACATTTTTCGTTCAAAACTTCCTATTTGTTTTCTTTAAATTCAATAAAAGATTGATATATAGTCCGTATATATATTTTTTTAAAGTAGAATTCTTGGATGGNCCGTAAATTAACGCCATGGGGCCTATCCCGATTCACGCAATTAGCTATTTTACGCAATTTGCTTAAAAACTTACGCCATGGGGCGTACGCACTGGTGCGCGCAATGAGGCGTACGCAATTCACCATCTTAAAATTAGAAAAACAAAGGTTAAAGTTGTCAATTACCCAAATTAAGTGTATATATTTTAAAATTACCTTGTTGATGACCTTAATTGTGACCCTAATCATGCGATTACCAACCTGATTCATCTTATTCATAGCGTCAGCTGTCTCTGCTTCTCTCTGTTTTCCGTCTCCATTGCCATAACAGGTACATTTTTTTTTGTTTTTTTTTCCGGCAAAAGGTATACAAATGGAGGAGCTGGACCGATTTATAATTGAGGCTGGTTTTTTTCCGTCTCTGCTTTTGATGGCTTACCACTGTTAATCTTTTTTTTGTTTCTAGCTGTTAATCTCCTTTATTCTTCTTTTTTGACTATTTTTGTGTTAATTGTTGTGTTTTTTGTTTCTAAGATGAGTTGTTGCATAGTGTTATATTGTTTATTTAGGTTTCTCAAATGTCAGACCCAGCATAGAAATATGGTGTTTACTGAACGCCCGAAAATGAAGGACCAAAAAAAAATTACAAATATGTGAATTGCAATTATTACTTTGACAATATACTTTTTTAATGTTTTTTGGATTATTTATGTTATACATTATGTTCTATCTTTAGTTTTAAATTGTTTTGTGGATATTTTTCAGTTTAAAAATTGAGGCTTACGCCTCAAAACGCCCCAAGGCTTACGCAATACGCCTTGAAAAGAAAACGCCTCGAAACCGCAATACGCAATTTCGAACATTGCACGGTATAGCTTTGGTAAAATCAATTTGGTACCAAATTACCACCCCATCCCTTTTGATACCAAAAATTTTTGGCATGCAAGTCTATATACTTACCGTCCATACCACATCTCACTTTAAACTATTTATTTATACATCTTTAATATTTAAAATGTATAAAAATTAGTTATTGTTAAAAATATAAAAACAAATTTAATTTAGCAATATTTACAACCTACTCCGTTTATGTTTTTCACACCCATTTTAAAACCACTCTCCAAAAAAGCTAGTTTTTGTTCTCTAAAAAGAAGGATTTTTTAAAACTCCCGTAAAAATTAAATGGATTGCAATTAATTTATATTACTAGTTTAGGTTTATTGTTTAAAAAATGATAGTGGTAAATTGGCGAATTAGCGTATGTAGACCGCCACTTGTAGTATGAAAAGTATGAAATCAGTGGGATCTGATTTGCGGGGCGCTGATGTGGAGAAGAGAGATGATACAGTAAAAGAAATATTGAAGGTACATATACCCTCCACCCTTAGTAATTTTGACTTCTCATTTTCTTTTCGTTCCACTTTTCTTTTCTTTTCCTCTAACCAAAAATGAAAATTTGTTTCCCCTCTCATTTTCTTTACTTTTCCTTTTCAAATTCCTTGGACCAAACATAGTGTTAAGATCTAGACCTGAAGAATCGATTTTGTGGAATGGAGAAGCTCAAAAAAACTATTCATCAAAATTATAGCCAGGAAAATTGTGACCCTGACGCCCGACCAGTCACCACAAAATTGGCCTCACAATAAAAATGAGAGATTGAGGCATGTAATGATGGTAAGGAACATACCTTAGCTATGTACCAGTTGTCTTTAGGTACGACAACAAACGCCTGCCATGAGTTATCTTCTTCTTGCCCAGGGGAATTTACCCAATTTTGTGTGTAAATCTGCAGTAATATGTAGGAAAAGAATATAAGTTATGGTGACAGAATGCAGATTACTACAGTATGATGAGAAGCTCAATGCTAATACTGGATTACTGGGTGCTCCAAAAATATTCAGGTTCACAATTTATAATTAAAGTACTCAAGCAGAAGCACAGAGCAATGCATAATTGGGGGGTGGAGAGAGGGCAGACTCACTGTAGAGATGTAGCACCTCCCATCTCCTTTCAGTTTAACTGCTATCGTGTCATATGCATCCAAGTCAATGAAGCCATCAAACTGTGACATGAAATTTAAGTATTAGAAAGACGAAGAAATACAAGAACTAATACCCCTCATAGACCAGCAAACAATGTGATTGTAAGCCTAAAAATACACCTAATTAAAAGAGAGGATTTATAGTATGCGCAACTAAGATATTGCTTGCATAACGAAGAAATAAAGAATACAAGAATTCTTTGTTCTTCTGAAGATCAAGAGTTAGCAAATAAGTATGTAGCAAGTAGTTCCTACACAACCTAAAACATGGCATAGATTAATATCAGTTGATTACACTAAACATATCCATTATTGTCACAGAAGACTCGAACACTGTGTCACAAGAACCAGTTGAAGAAATTTAGGTACCTTTTTAGACCTCATTCCACAGAAGCCACTTCTAGTCATATTCCAGGTCGAACCCTCGGCTACATCTTTAGAGAGGTTTCCAGAAAATATTCCTATTGCAATTATTAAAAAAAAGGTTTTAAAAATAAAACAAAAGCATCACTTTCTTATTTATCGACAATGTATCTGGGTTTGCTGAATTTCGCCTCAAGGTTGCAAGTGAAGGGCGTAAAATTGGGTCTCACAAATCAGAACCTTAATCTAAAATTAATGGCGTCGTGGCTGAATTAAGTAATGAATAATTGCATGGGGTCACTTGAATATCAAGAAGTAACTTGCCTTAGAAAAACTTCTCTTAGGTCTATAATTAAGTGAGCATAAACAGTTGTGTCAAAGACTAATCCCTCCATTTGAGGGTCGTGGTCTACATGGAGATCAAATTGTTGAAGAGGGGAACATAGACAACTACACAAGTCTCCTATGTTGGAAGAATGTCATACATGCTAGCGCACCAAACTTGTTGCATATTAAGATTGTTTGAGTAACTCGCAAAGGCTTCGTGAATATATTTTTTAGTTTATCACTAGATTGGACAAATGACTGATTTCCTTGGAGATACTTTTATCCCAAATAAATCACAACCAAACTCTATATGCTTAGTACTTTCATTGAAAACCAAATTTCAGGCATAATGTAAATTTGCTTGATTGTCACAAAAGATCAAGTTCATACTTTATATAGCTTAATTCATGTGGTAAATACTTTGACCAAATGAGCTCACATGTAGTCAGGGTCGTGCACATACTAACTTCAGCAGTGGATGTTGCAACTACGCACACAATACCCAAGAGTTGACATTATATCACTCGGTAACCCTACCTAATCAATAGTGTCAATTTCACCCATTCTATATTATCATACGTGAGTCCTTTCCTACTAATCACCTGTCAATCCAGACATAGTGAGAAAAGGAAGAAAAACATTTTCTCGTCATAGTTTTGACTATCTTTTGATGGTCCGGACTTGGAGTAGGGGCGGCTTTAAAAAAAAATAGAAAAATCAGATAGAGGTTGGTGGTACGTTAAAAAAGGATGCTGACTCTCACAATATGTAAAATGGAGTTAAGAAATTGAATAGAGTCATTAGACAAAGCTTAGGATACGGAACATAGGGTCCACACATCATGCGGTAATGAACACACATATTTTGAGCTGGTCATGGAACCTGGTCATGAACACGCATTTCCCAATAACCCAAACCCAACCTATCTTGTTTGCCAGCTCAACTGAAAAATACGGAGCAATCAACACGCCTTAAAGCAAAGGAGTCTGAATATGAGAGAATCAGCACTTTGTGTATACATTAGAGCCCAAGGGTGAAAAGATTACACCATTCATAACATTCCATAAGAAAAACTATCATAATCCTCTTTGAGAGGGGAATGTTTATACACATACCAACGGAAGTAGATCCATTACTAGTACTTTTTATCTCTAGAGATGCAGATGACCGACCTGAAACATTATCAATAGTTGATATATTCAGATATGAGTCTAAAGTAACAATGGCATATAGTAGAATAGTGAATTTTAATTGAAACTTGGTCATTGTGCAATATGAACAAATAAATTCCAATAAAACACAAACACTGGGAATAGTTGATACAGCTGAGCATGAGGCCAAAAGCTCATTTATGCTCATCTATACAGTAAAAAGAATATGAAAATAGAGTATCAATCTTGCCTGCTAGACTAGCACATGTATTTTAAGCAATACAAAAAGAGGATATAATATCATCCAAGTAAATGCACCTCCATATTCAGAATCTGAATATAAATGCCACCTTTTCAGTTCATCCTTTGAGCTGAAATTGAAAATATATCTTTCACTTGGAGGAATTAAGTCTTCCAGGTTCCATGTGAGTGCTGCATGTTGTAGGATTAAACAACAAAACTATGCTTGTTATGATAGCCGGAAAAAAAACAAATGAATATTTGTATGCATGTGACAACTAATCAATGGTGGGCATAGGTTGGCTTAGTTGTTAACAGAACCCAAGGGCCAAGGCCTAACCAATTTGTTGCAATTGCAAACCAAACCAAACTAGTGATTATGTTTAACAAAACCACATTATTGTAGGTATGTTTGTGTAATTGGGACCTGGGATCCAAATACATTTCATTTTTTGCGAATTGAAATTAATCCATAATAAGATTAACCGACCCAAATAATATACATTTTTTATATATATATATTATAATGTTATGTACATTATAAGTTTATAACCCTGGTTTTCAGGTAATGTTCTATGGCATTTGAGTCGTTAAATCTAATTTTGAACTAAAATGGAAGACAAAGACACTAGAATGTGTAGTCATCTACTTATCTAAGATTTGAGATGAACTATAATAGTATTAAAGGGATTACTTAAGTACAGCACCAACAATGACAGCATAATCTAGGAGGTCAAAATGTAAATCACTATACTCATGTTTCTCTTAGACCCTTGATGCAATGTTGAATTAAATGCCGAAAACTTCATACAAAGTAAGAGGCGAGGAAGTTTGATGTGTCATTTTGATTAAGTCCATTATTTACCCAAAGCACAAGAAATGACTCATTTGGGTCTTGGCAATAGATGCAAACGGATTACTACAAATCTACAATACAAAATTAAATCATCCAAATCTAATTGTGTACAATCATAATTGAAATTTGAAAAAGAGGATTAAATTGAAGTAAGCTCCACTGTTAAAAACTTGAAATGCATGTAATAGTAAATGCTCTTGGTTACATATGCATTAGTCTAGTATTTCTTTTTGGGTTGTCCAAGTGTATTCATCCCCTCCCCATTTTAGACAAAGAAATAAAGTTTGTACTCTCCCATTTACTCACTATCAAAAAGTAAGGATTGTTTAGACCCTTCTCCCTTTTCCTGTCTTCTTAGTTTATGTGCCAAAAAGAAACACAGCCAATACACGAGGATGGCGGGAGTATATAACACGTAAGTAAATTGGATTGGATGGGATTAGCTTTAGTTGGTTTTATTTACATCAACCTGCCAACCAAAACAAACTAAATTTTATAAAGAATTTAAACCAAACCCGCCCATTAGGTGCAGCCTACTTGACAAACCCACACAAAATAGGGTTCGGAAAGGTTCATTTTGTGGGATGGCAGCTGAAATGCTCACATACCACCAATAGGTGGTTCGTGATGATATCCAATTTATATGTACACCCCTCAACATGAGAAAGAAATAAAATGTGCAAAAGTCATAAAGGAGTGATACAACAACAGATGTCCAATCCCTAGCAGAAATTCTTTCCTACAGTAATATACTAATATGTATGATAATATTGCAATCTACTAATCCCTCCGTCCTGGAGTATTCGTCCAGTTTTTACTTTTGGAACTGTTCATTTAAGCACTTTGACTCATCAAATTCTCTCAATGTGTAAGCCTAAATATAGTCATGTGTGATCTTGTTTGATTTGTCTTAACATATAGATTATTAATATATAATTTCTATAATTTTTTAATATACAAATTACAAGATAAAATGGATTAAAGAAGTGTATTGGATGGTGTGTAAAAATGAAAGTGGACATATACTCTGGGACGGAGGTAGTACATGTTAGTGAGCATTTCCTTTCTTTTCGGTGAACATATAAGATTTTTTTGGTGTGTAATAAGTAATAACAGTGCACTTAGTAACAACACATTTGTGGTTACAGAACACATATTTTTCATCTAATCAGCAATACATTTCTATGTAGTGATTATAGCCCAGAGGCTAGTCTCCAGTTGTATTATACTTTTGCATCTACAATTCTAAAGTAGAATAATCTAATTCCTAGAAAGTAAAAATACAGAAGCCACACTCATCCACAGTAAGCAAGGTGAGATAACAAAATAATCAGAGACGATAAAATCTTTAACATTTCAAAACTACTTCCCAACTTCACTTCACTTCAATAGTTGTTCTAATGACCATTGGCAGATGGGATGATAAGTGAGGGGGTTGTGGTACAGAACAACAACAACAACAACCCAGTTAAATCCCACAAGAGTAGGGTCTGGGGAGGGTGTGTGTACGCAGACCTTACCCCTACTCGAAAGTAGAGAGGTTGTTTCCAAAGAGACCCCCGGCTCAACGTCGAAAGTTGCATTGCTTGACTAACAGTTTAGAGATCCATTTTGATTTATTCCATCACACCCCAAAGCCAAAAAATGGTGAAATTTTGGCTCCATCGGAGATGAAGGTTGTGGTACAGAACAAGCCCCAATTGCTAATCCGATGCATAAAGTGAAGGAATAAAAAGTTGAAAGTGTCGTTATAGCTTACCTCTTTTAGTTGCAGCAAGGGATGCTTGCAATAGTGAACGAAACTTATACATTTTAGTGCATTAGACTCCTCCACAATTTCTACGGAAATGGTCTACAAAGTCAAAAATGAAATATAAAGAATATTAACAATTGCTCAAGATGTTCTCTTTTTTTTCTTTTTTCTTTTTGCTTTTTAAAAAATATTACAGAGTAAATAATATTCATCAAATAATAAGACAATTGGAGATGGATACAGCAGACGAATGAAAGTATGTATTCATCAAATAATAAGACATCAAATCAGAATTATACTCAGTATGAATCACTAAAAATCAGAAATTGCCCAAAACTGAATGAATCTCAAACTAAAATGAACAATGATACAGTTCTACAACTCTGTAATCAGAAATTGCTCAAAAATCGCATGAATCTCAAACTCAAATGAACCGGAATACGAAACATACAATTCATACCAGTAGATTATTGAATCTGAAACTCTGAAAACTTAGTGCCGCTGTGCGGGACAGTGGTGAAGCCGTAAGGCGCAGCAGAACCTACCTCCCTACTTCCATTTTTCACATTTACTTGTTCCTTCTAAATTCTTCATATTTCTTTGTTGCTTTTTTATTTTGAGAAGGTTGTTTTACATATTTAGTGTCTATATATCAAATATTATTAATTTAGTCCCTAATTATTATATTCATTTCCACGAATGGTCCTTTGTTAACATTTATGTTAAGAACGTGGATAAAATTGAAAATTCACACTCTTTTTCCTCCTAATTAAGCTTCTTCCCTCCCTCGCACTCCTTTCTCAAACTCATCGTTAAGTTTGAAGGTTTGAACCCAAAACTGAAATCATTACTCTTCTATCAATTGTTTGTCTAACTGGTGGAACCCAAATTCGAAACCAGTAACCTTCATGGATGAGTTTTAATGTTTATTCCTTTGGAATTTCATGAGATTAACCAATAAAACTCATCAATAAAGTTTATTGGTTTTGATTTTAGGTTCCACCAGGAAGACTAAGAATTGAGAGAAGAATGATCATTTCTAGGGGTGAGCAAATTAACCGGACCGACCGCGAAACCGAAAACTGAAAACCGAAATAACCAGAAGTTCGGTTTCGCTTTCAGTTTTCATGTAAAAGTTATTTTCGGTTTTTTCGGTTTTTCGGTCGGTTTTCGGTTTTTTTGTAAGAAAAACCGAACCGACCGAATAACCGATGATTTTATTTTAATTTATTTTTTATTTTTTAAAATAAGAAAATATTTGATTAACATACATGCTTTCTTTTTACTCTTTCATGGAAAACTATAATGTTTCACTTTTAAAAAATTTATTTGTTAATGTTTTGAACATATTAATGAGAAAAGTGCAATTTTTATATGAAATGGATAGTGTATGTTCAAATAAAAATTAATCTACCTTACTAAATCAATGACAATAGAAAAGTTTTAATCTAAACTAATTTAATACATATCAATCTACCTTGCCGAATTAGTTTCTTGAATTTATATTAACAAATCAAAATAAAAGTAATTAGAATTCGTTTTTTTGGTCGGTTTTTTTTATGTAAGGGCGGTTTTTTATGTTTCGGTTCGATCGGTTTTAATTTATGGTCGGTTCGGTCGGTTTTCAACCATGTTAAAAAAAGTCGATTTTTTCGGTTTCAAACCGAAACCGGCCAAAACCGACCGTTGCTCAGCCCTAATCATTTTAGTTTTGGGTTTAGAGCTTGAAACTCAGCGACGAGTTTGGGAAAGAGTACGAGATGAGGGAGGAAGCTTAATTGAGGAGAGAGAAGTATGAATATACAATTTTATCCATGTTCTTAACAAAAACGTTAACAAGGGACCATTTGTGATAAATGATATAATAATTGGGGACTAAATTAGTAATATTTGATATGTAGGGACTAAATATGTAAAACGACATATAATTGGAGGCCTTTTATGGAATTTACTCTTTTATTTTTAATAATGGATAATACGTTTTGGTTGAATAGTGTCATTTTCCATCACTTTCTTAATCAGCCTCTTTAATTTTTTTATGTTTTTAAATAATGTTCCTTTATCTTGAAAAATGGTAAAAACCATTAAATATGAACAAAATTTGTGGCCGAAATTTTGATTTGACTTATTTATGTATTTAAAGCTATGCACATATATTTAATATTTAATTGCAGAAAGGATATTATTAGATAATGGGTGATATGATTGACATTGAGAATACCAACAAATGATGTTATCTTGGTTGCACCAAGTGTAACAAGAAAGTTGTTCCAAATGGTTCAAGGTTTAAGTGCAAAAACTAAGACAAAGATTATCTTGAAGAAGTGTATAGGTTAAATATTGTAAATCAATAATTTTTAATTACTTTGTAGCTTAAAATAATAAAAATGATCTTAATTTTAGTAACGTAAATATGACTCGTGCAACGCACGGGTGTGATACTGGTTAGCTGAATTAACAATGTAATGTGATTTTGATTTTTTATCAATACTACTCGTATAAAATTAACAATGGCTGTGTTTTGCCAAACAATTTTTCGAATGATTTTGACTACTTTAGTTTTTTGACTAATAAAAAACTAAAATCACTATTTGGCTAATTACTTTTTCACTTGCATGTTTAATCTGATTAGCCAAAATCTGAAAAAGCTAATGAGAGTAGCTTTTAGACTTGGTAGTTAGAAAAATTATTTATTTTATCATTTTTTTCTTGAAAGATATTCAATAATATATTTAAACAAACCAAAATAAAAGTTAAAAAAATCAAAATCTAAAAACAATATAAATGATATGAGAAAATCAAAAGTAAAAATCATTAAAAAGTTGTATATTATTAATTTCTTATAATTATATGAAAGTTGAATTCAATACTCCATATATTAATACACACACACACACACACGTATATGTATGTATGTATATATGTATGTATGTATGTATGTATGTATAATCTCGAAAGTGCTATTTTCAAATAACTAATTTTGTCAAACGTTTTTAACAAATAGCTAACATATCTAGCCGGTCAATGTACACTTGTTTTTATGATGTGCATGTTCAATGTCTATAAAAAGAGTTTTTTGCGTGATTCACTCCTAAACTTTTCAAAAATTATACAAATTCACTTCAAACTTTAAAATTTGTAACAATGTCTCCTAAACTTTAAAAAATATTGTGCCAACGATCACTCTATGCTAGATTTGGTGTGCATTAATATATTACACGCTTAGAAATATATGTGTTGGAGTTTGATGAAAGATGTCATAGATTGATGAAGAGATTGATCGATTGATGACGAGCGTTATTGATAAATGTTCGGCATTCAAATTCGGTTGTTGACGACTTAATTGAGAATAGTTATCTAGGATTGTTAGATGTTAAAAAATATAAAAAGTAATATTTAGAAAATGCATATTGCAGAGCTCACATGCGATATATGACTTTAGATAAATTCATACTTGTACTAGATGAGCGCGTGACCAAGACACTCCTAAATCTTGTACAGATGGACTATTTGTGCAATATTTTAAAAAGTTCAGCGGACACTGGTACAATTTTTTTAAGTTCAAGGGGAATCGGTGCAATTAAGTTTATAGGGAAAAATGGTACAAAAAACTCTTTATAGAAAAGATAAATGTGTGAAATGATTTTTTTAACATCAAAGATTATACTACTATTAATGATAAAGTTTGGGTGTGTGAAGCCACATACACGAGCTCTCTGGCAATGGTCGATCCAAAAAAAAGTTACCGAGGACAAAGTTATAATTAGAAGTAGGGCGGGGTGTGGGGGGAGGGGAGGTTCGAGGGCAAGAGTCTGACTTTTCTAAAAACTAGTTATAATCATGAAAAATGAATAAATTTATTTTCAAACTAGTATTCAAATAAGTAAAATAAAATATTTTTAAACTGTGAAAAAATACACTACTCCAGTACTATATTTCAAATATTTTACCTTTATTTTTTTAAAGAATTATTTTTACTTTTAAATTAGATTTTTTTGGCATTGGGAACACAAATTTTTCACAAGGGCGCTCTTTTAGCATACCACAATTTTTTTCACACTGTATATTTAAAAAGAATTGGTTGGGGGACACTGCCTCGATTACCTTCAACTTGGATCTGCAATGCTCTCAGGAAAGGATACGAGGCACGTGCCAATACATATGCTGCTGAAGCGAAGAACAAATTTAAAAGACAAGTTACCACAATTAGTGCACGAATACTTTTACAATCACTAAACTTTGTTTCCTAGGTGCAACTATGCAAGCACAACTCCATGTCATCAATTAGCGATCAAAATTGAATTTAAGTAATTGTCTGACTGAATCTCGAAGGATTTCCGAGAACCAGAATCATCCATTTTTTTATTGAACTCTATTTCAAAATAGGGGGAGGTTCGGGTGACATTAATCTCTCATGTCATTCTATGACACGAGCTTCGATTGTATGGGTTGGGGGGTCGGTTTGGGCTGGGCCGGGGTGGAAGGATTTACCGGGGGTGTTTGAAGGGTAGGAATCATCAATTTTTAAAACAGAACATCGTAAATGTCTCGAGTCATATTATGACATTGAAATTTAATGTCAATTGAACGGGTGTGTTAAAAATAAGAAGTGAATTTTCCAAGTGAAATTTGTACTAAATAGGACTAAAACATAAGTCATTTTCCAACGTAGAACTTTAATTTTTTTATTCCCTAAATAAGACTTAATAATGACTAGTGAGAAATTCATTATGTTTTAATTCTATTTAAGTAAATTACTCGTTTTTGAAAATTTTGCTCTTCCCATACATCTCCCTTCCCTGTTTTGTTATCCCTCGATCCAAACCCACCGTTAACGAGTAATTTACTTCGTACTAGTATTTTATCTCACTTTTCAGAATGAGAGCGACAATGGAAGACGGAAACACCCTGATTGTGCAGGATTTCCATGGCGTTCTCTTCAATAATTCGGCTTCCAATTAGGGTTATTATTTCGAATACATGGATATATCAACGCAGTCTCTTCAATCTCAACCAACTCACAGTGAGCTCTTCTTGCTTATCCTTTTGCTTATATTCGAATTCAGAAAATGGTAGATGAGTGACTTGTAATGCTCCACAAGCTTTTTCATTTATTTTGTTCATAATTCTTAATTTCGTTGGAAGAAAACTTGGAGAAATGTGGATGAATTAACATTTTTTTGGTATAAAAATCATTTTTTTTATGTTTCGATCTGATCAGGATGATTACTAAGTACTTAGATTCATCGCAATTGAAAAAAAACAAATTTTGTTATTCCCAATATGATCAGGGAAAAAAAGAATAGAACACCGTACATGAAAAATTTCTCTACAAAATTGTTGATGATACTAAGATCTACTATTCATGCTAGAGATGACGTCAAGGAAGATATCCTCCGGAATAGGAATTGTTAGCCCGCCCATCGGATGATCAAATCCAAATTCTTCTTCAGCTTGACAGAGCAGGTCTTGGAATGAATGATCCTTCAAGTATGTTATTGGCAGGACAAAGCGTTTCTTCTCGCCCTCGCCTACATAGACTGCAAAGTGACCCTTAGGAACCTCACTTTCTCTTTTTGATATCGAGGAAGACCTTTTGAGGCCTCCTTGTTTCCCACGGAGAATGCGCCCCATACTGATTGCCATATTTCTTTAGAATCTGGAGGAAGCGTTAAATGAAGAAACAGTTTGTGAATGCTGAAATAATGTTCTGTGTGAACTTTGGAGGAAGTCCTTGAGTTTGAATGGTGGTGAATACCAACTAAAATGTGTTTATATAGATATATGATACTTTAGAAGGTGCAATAAGTGATATGAAGTTGAGATAGCTCAACCACATATGTCATTACCACATGCTTTTGTCTTCCAATTATGTGCACTGCCAGCATGGTTGGTACAGCATAAGGAGTGGTATTTGTGTATGAAACGTTCTTTGGGAAATCATCAATAGTTTATACTGCCTATGAACATTATTCCCCACAGGTTTCAATGAAATTGAATAGATAATGGCAGCTCAACTACTTATGCTATTCAAAGAATAATGAGAGATGAAGATTCATCGTATTTTCCCAGAAAATAGATCAACTGATTTGCTTCAATGGGAAACATAGCCATGTGATTCTGATTACATGTCTTCCTGATTGAAGCTAAATGGCCCCATGTGTCTAGTTAGCACATGGTTTTGCCTTCATGAAGAACTGAAGCTTTTGCCAGCCTGCTGAACATGATAAATAGAAGGCTTGCATCTTCTGCATTCTGATTAACAGACACTGCTATGGTTCCAAAAAATTATCTGCTTGATTTAGTTCTTAGAAATTCGGTGCAGTACTTCCTCTACTGTTACCTATCTGTTGAATTTTTCTCCGTACTCTCTATTTGTGTTCATCAGCATCACTACACCAAGAAGGGCACAGAAATGTGTCCACTGGTATCCATAAGTCCTGGTTTCTCTTCTTTGAATGATGAATGGCTTCTTTATTTGGAATGTTACAAAGGGGTTGCCTGAAGAGAAAGCTCAAACCATACTTTTTACAGCCTCATTTATGGTAGTCATATTTTGGCAAGGCAGAGATTGGGGCAAATGCTGGTTGAAAGATCCTGAGCAGAATGGCATTTTTAGTAACTGTTTTGTATAATGGAGCTAGACTGCTAGAGTCAGCCAGCGTTGATCACTCAGAAGAAAGCATTTCGATTCATTAGAATGTGAGGGAATGAAGTTATAGAGTAGTGTGAAGAGTAAATGTCAATGGCCCTTTGGAGTGGAAAGTTTTTCTTTCAGCCCTGCTTAAAACTCTCTTTCCTGCTTAAAACAGTTTCTTAGCAATAAGTTCAAAAATGAAATGGAGCTACTTGGCTGATTCTTTGGATGTCAAGTACTGTAATCAATGGAGGCACTTTACAGGTTGATGAGCCCAAATCTTTGCTGCCTGCATTCTGCGATATGCTTGGATTTCCGGAATCAAAGAAATGTATGAAAGTGTGGGGATAAAAAACAATACTTAAGAGAGAGCTGAATTCAAAATGTGATGGCTTTCACCGAATGCTTAGCAACGAAATGGCTCGGCCTTATTCGTTTCCATCCAAGTTGCAACAAGTTACCACATGGTTCTTCAGGATGCTTATTATTTGCAACTGCTATCTTGTGTGTTTCCAATGATCAGACACTTGCTAAATTGCTATAGTTGGTTGTGAGTAGTCTTGAATGGTGCCAAATGAAGGTAAAATTGTATGAACAAAAGGTGTTCATCTGGTTCGATTTTCTGTTTGCATTTGTAATATCCAGGTTGAGCATTTCTTTCAAGAAGTAAATAGATTCTCGGAGCAATGTTTTTGCTACAGGAGGTGGTATACATCGTCACTGTCTACTACCTCACTTATGAGCATGGGATCATTACATCTTCATGTACTACCAAGAATCCACGCAAGTAAGGAGAGCGAGTGGGATAGATATGGAAGACGGAGCTTCGCACGTTCTTTTAAAAAGTCTATAGCATCCATTTATGTTGTGTAAAGTTTATGGTTTCCATTTGTTCATATTCAATCTCCTCAATTTCTGTTGAGAAGAGTTCCTTCCACCTTTGCTAAAGATTATCCATGAAGTTGAGGAAATCCTTGAAAAACGAAAGAGAGATTATGCTCCCACAAAAAGTAGGGTCTTGAGAGTGTGTCTACGCAGACCTTACCCCCCATCAGAGAGTAGAGTGGTTGTTTCCAAGACAGCTACCTCAGGCCACCTAAGATAAAAATTTCTACCTCTATTCTCCCTCTTTTCCCATTCAGTTTCTTTCTCTCTCTAATATCTAGGTAAATTTATGATCAATTCCATTAAGCTCCTCTACCTGCAAAGAGTTTGCAGAAAATTGCTGCCATCAAAAGAAATATGATTTCTTTTTTGATGTCATTACATGAAGACACAGTCCACTGCTTGGTACCACAGAAAACCCAGTAGAGTACAATATTTGATGGAAAAACCTAATATAGTGCAGAGTTACGGACATTTATATTAAATATTTCATTTTTTAATTTTCAAAAAGAATTCAAATATCAAGGACATGATATTTGATTCCGAAATGTAAATATAGGGCTAGCAAGGTTTAACTCTGTAAGTATCATTCTCTCTTATTTCTCAATTCTCCAAGTTCAAACCTTACAAATACCAATGCCCCTCCACCTAGGACCTCCACTCTTTTTTTTTCCTTTCCCTTTTATCCTTCCTGAAACTCTAAAAGAAATTGTTTTACTGGTAGAAATAACAGAGTATATTGGATGGTAAATTTAATCTTTACTTTTCAAAGTTTATCTGTAAGGCTTATATAAGCACTTATCCAAGACTAACGCAATGACTTTTTTTCTGCTGTAGCGCTGGCTAATGGAATCATCACCAAATCCAGGTTCGAACCCTGGCAGCAGAGATTTTTTTGGGCTATTTTTTATTGACTTTCCTTTTGTAAAAATGGAGTAGAATGTTAATAATTATTCCCCACTCAAACCATTTGGGTGCAATTTTTAATGTGAGATGATAAAGTTACTTTTGAACAAATTTGCCTTTTCAATTACATTAAAAGGGGTAGTAATGGTAAAGAAGTGGGAAGAACCGAAGGGGACGATGAAAAAAGGCATTTGGGAAGAACTGCAGGGGACAAATGTTTTAAAATTCTTGCTAACAATGGGATTCTCAATCCTGCAGGACTCCCGTGGCTTTCTTCGGCTTCCTGAAATTTTCTCCCTTTAATGGTTTATTTACCTCAACTTTTGCATATATTAACGTGACAGGTGCCTCATCCATCATTCACGGTGAGCTCTTCTTGCATCTTATTTTTTTCCTATTGAGATTCAGATTCGGTAAGTGCTAGTCGAACCTAACTCTGTTGACTCAACTTCCAATTTAGAATTATAATTTGTAACTCTTAATTTCCATAAGAGCTTGGAGATATCTGTAATATTATTATACTTCCTTTCCTATCAGTCTATCACTTTAATCATTCGGGATAATGAGTAACACGGGTTAAACAGACTCAGAATAGTTGATGAAAGAAATTAGTTTTATATACTTCCCAATCTGACGAGGAAGGAAAAAATTAGAACATTGTACAAGAATAAGCTTCTCTACAAAATTGTTTTGATGCCTAGGAACTAAGATATGTGAAGTGTATCAGGATCTACTACTCATGCTAGAGATGATGTCGAGGAAGGTATCCTCTGTACAAGGAATTGTAAGCCCACCCATTGGATGATCAAATCCAAATTCTTCTTCAGCTTGACATAGTAAGTCTTGGAATGAATGGTCCTTCAAGTATGTTATTGGAAGGACAAAGCGTTTCTTCTCGCCCTCACCTACATAAACTGCAAAGTGACCCTTAGGAACCTCATTTTCTCTGTTTGTTCTTGAGGAAGACCTTCTGAGGCCTCCTTGCTTCCCACGGAGAATGCGCCCCATACCGATTGCCATATTTCTTTCTGATGTGGAGGAAGTATTAAATAGCTTTTGAATGCTGTAGTAATGTTTTGTGTGAACTGTGAAGAAAGTCTTTGAGTTTTTGTGGTGGTGAATACCAACTGGGATGTGTTTATATAGATATACAATCCTTTAGAAAGCAGAATAAGTGATATGAACTTGCTATAGCTCAACCACTGTCATTAGCACATGTTTTGTTTTCCAATAATGTCTACTGCCAGCTTGGTAGGTCAGCAAAAGGAGTGGTAGTTTGGTATGACACGTTCTTTAGGAAATTATCAATAGTTTCTACTGCCTCTGAACATTATTCCCCTCTGAGCATGAATTTGAATAGACGTGGACAGCTAAACCATTTATGCCATTGAAGAAGATTAATGGTATTTGCCCAGAAAACAGCTCAACTCATTTACTTGAATGAGAAACAAAGCCATGTGATTCTGATCAAATGTCTTCCTGGTTGAGTAGCTAAGTGGTCCCTTATGTCTAGTTGGAACATGGCTTTGCCTTCCTCAAGAAATGAAGCTTGTGGCAGCCTACTAAACATGTTAAATAGATGGCTTGCTTCTTCTGCATCCCGATAATCAGACACTGCAATCCACTCATTGCGAAATGTTCTTCTCTCTTCTATTCTATTTCTTGGAATTGATTCCAAGATATTTGGTGCAAGACTTCCTCTAGATTTTGTGTTCAGCAGCTACTTTTTATTTGTGCTCACCAGCCTGACCCAACCAAGAAGGGCTGAGAAGTTGAAAATTTGTAAGCATGCAAGAACTTTTTAGTATTTCTGGTCACCAGCTTCTTCTAAATGTGGGTTGGCTTCTTTCTTTGGAATGTTAGAGAGATTGCCCGAAGAGAACAAACCATGCTGTTTGAAAGTTCCTGGAGAAGAAATCATTTTGGTTCATTATCAAGTTGGAGAATAGTTTGAAGAGTAGGTGTCAAGCTTTTAGGAAGTGTTTTTTTCTGTCAGCTCTGCTTGGCAGATTCATTGTGTGTGAAATATTGTAAACTATAGATACACCTTGCAGGTTGGTGATCTGCAAAGTGTATACCGATAGTTGAATTCAAAATTTGGCGGCCTTTAACCGTATCCCAGCACATGTTTTCTTCTCTAGGGATAATATGTGAATATCTGTACAGGCACAAATGAAGTAAAGAATAAGGGAGAGTAACATTCCATTGGAATTTTGGAAATACAGTGTATTACTTAAGGAACAATAGAATACATTGGTATAAAAATATTTATTACATATTTAAAAACTACACCAAAAGTTTTACAAAAAACATGATAAAATTCTTTAAACTAAATGTCCAATGAAAACACACAAATAAATAAAAGTTACCGGGAACTCAACTAATAAGAGTATAATTCATTGTGAAACGAGAGAAATATCATTTAGAGAGTTGACTCTTAAAGAATTACTTTCCCAATAGACCAATTAAACAAAAACACATCATCACCTGGATATATGTAATTGAAATACTCTCTCCGTTCCTAAAGGATTTACACCTTACGCAAAACAAAGTAAAATCTCAAGTTTTTTCAAATTATTTTATACCAACACTTTAAAAGTCGGTATTGAAATAAAAAATAAAACTTGCATATTCAAAAAGTATATCTAAAATTCTACAAAATAAGAGGTGACAAAAATATTTGATTTCATTAAATAATCAATGAAAACGCACAAACAAATATAGTTTCTCGTGATTTTTGAATATTGAAGAGTGTAAATCATTTAAAGATGGAAGGAGTATCAAATAAACAAACTCGAATGGATTAGCTGACAATACAAATAATATAAAGACTAAATATTTCTAACCTCTGAATGATAAAAGAAGATTGATAATATCCGGGTTCGAAGTCTGGTAGCGGATTACTATTTTTTTTATTTTTATCTTTTGGCCTCCTGAATTTAGGGTTTTTATTGCAAAAAATTGCTGCTGGGTACCCCAATTTTGTAATAGGAATTCGCAGGTCCCATTATTTTTCAAAATATACTCCAATATTCGAAAAATGACTCCTACAATACTTCACTCTCCCCGTTAATATCCTTCTCCATTATCATCCCTTCTCCATTATCTTTCTCTATTTTTCATTCTATTTTGATCCATCTTCTCTTTCTCTTTTTATAACAGTGAATTTCTTTCCGCGCACATCTCAATGTCATTCATCCATAGGATGTGAAGAGGTATTTTACTGCATAATCTTAATTGCCTATAAACTTTTGGAGATGTTTGGAATTATTAGACTTTCTTTCCTTCCATTTGATTCATCCACGATAAAGTAAATGGAAAATTTATAGTTTTTATTTCCCAATTTGATCAGGAAAAAAATGGAGCACTGTACAAGAATACTTTTATCTGCAAAATTGTGTTTATAATATAAGATATCTAAAGTCTACTAGGATCTGCTACTCATGCTGAGATGATGTCCAAGAAGGTATCCTCCGGAATAGGAATTGTAAGCCCGCCCATGGGATGATCAAATCCAAATTCTTCTTCAGCTTGACAAAGCAGGTCTTGGAATGAATGATCCTTCAAGTATGTTATTGGAAGGACAAAGCGTTTCTTCTCGCCCTCGCCTACATAAACTGCAAAGTGACCCTTAGGAACCTCACTTTCTCTGTTTGATCTCGAGGAAGACCTTCTGAGGCCTCCTTGCTTCCCACGGAGAATGCGCCCCATACTGATTGCCATATTTCTTTAGGATGTAGAGGAAGTGTTAAATTAAGAAATAGCTTGTGAATGCTGAAATAATGTTCTCTGTGAACTGTGGAGGAAGTCCTTGAGTCTGAGTGGGGGTTACAAACCAACTTGAATGTGTTTATATAGATATACGATCCTTTAGGAGGTGGAGTAAGTTATATGAACTTGAGATGGCTCAACCACTCTGTCACTACCACATGTTTTTGTCTTCCAATAATGTCTATTGCCAGCTTGGTAGGTACAGCATAAGGACTGGTAGTTTGGTATGACACGTTCTTTGGGAATTCATCAATAGTTTCTACTGCCTAAGAACATCATTCCCCACAGATTTCAAAGAATAATAAGAGATAAAGATTCTCAGTATTTTTCCAGAAAATAGATCAACTGGTTTGCTTCAATGGGAAACATAGCCATGTGATTCTGATTACATGTCTTCCTGATTGAAGCTAAATGGCCCCATGTGTCTAGTTAGCACATGGTTTTGCCTTCGTGAAGAACTGAAGCTTTTGCCAGCCTTTTGAACATGATAAATAGAAGGCTTGCATCTTCTGCATTCTGATTAACAGACACTGCTAAGGTTCAAAAAAATTATCTGCTTGATTTAGTTCTTAGGAATTCGGTGCAGTACTTCCTCTACTGTTACCTATCTGTTGAATTTTTCTCCGTACTCTCTATTTGCGTTCATCAGCATCACTACACCAAGAAGGGCACAGAAGTGTGTCCACTGGTGCCCATAAGTGCGTCTTCCTAGAAGTTAAGTGGGGCATTCTGGTTTCTCTTCTTTTAATGATGAATGGCTTCTTTATTTGGAATGTTACAAAGGGGTTGCCTGAAGAGAAAGCTCAAACCATACTTTTTACAGCCTCATGTATGGAAGTAATATTTTGGCAAGGCAGAGATTGGGGCAAATGCTGGTTGAAAGATCCTGAGCAGAATGGCATTTTTAGTAACTGTTTTGCATAATGGAGCTAGAGTCAGCCAGCATTGATCATTCAGAAGAAAGAATTTTGAATCATTAGAATGTGAGGTAATGAAGTTGGAGAGTAGTGTGAAGAGTAGGTGTCAATGGCCCTTTGGAGTGGAAAGTTTTTCTTTCAGCCATGCTTAAAATTCTCTTTCCTGCTTAAAACAGTTCCTTAGCAATAAGTTCTTAAATGAAATGGAGCTACTTGGCTGCTTCTTTGGATGTTGAGTACTGTAATCAATGGAGGCACTTTACAGGTTGATGAGCCCAAATCTTTGCTGCCTGCATTCTGGGATATGTTTGGATTTCCGGAATCAAAGAAATGTATGAAAGTGTGGGGATAAAAAACAATACTAAAGAGAGCTGAATTTAAAATGTGATGGTTTTCACCGAATGCTTAGCAACGAAATGGCTCGGTATGTACATTAAGTGCAGAGTTATGTACATTTATATTATATGCTGAGTATTTCATTATTAATTTTGAAGAAGAATTCAAATATCAAGGACATGATATTTGATTTTGAAATGTAAATATAGGGCTAGCAAGGTTTGACTCTGTAAGTGTCGTTCTCTCTTATTTTTCAAGTCCCCAAGCTCAAACCTTACAAATACCAATGGCCCTCCACCTAGGTTGCAGACTCTTTTTCTTCTTTCCCTTTTTTCCTTCCTGCAATTTTAAAAGAAAATGGTTTTGTTTCCCTGGTAGAAATACAGAGTATATTGGATGGTAAATTTAATATTTACTGCTCAAAGTTTATCTTTAAGACTTATAAACACTTATCCAAGACTAACACGATGACTGTGTAGTTCTGCTGTAGTGCTTTCTTATTGAATCATCATCAAATCCAGGTTTGAACCCTGGCAACAGAGATTTTTTTGGCCTATTTTTTCTTGACTTTCCTTTTGTGAAAATGGAGTACTATGTTAATAATTACTCCCTAAGATGATAAAGTTACTTTTGGACGAATTTGGCTTTTCAATTAGGGAGCACTTTAAAAGGGGTAGTGAAGGTAAAGTGGGAAGAACCAAAGCGGACAGTGAAAAAAAGGCATTTGGGAAGAACTAAGGGAATAATTCAAATGTCTTAAAGTACAGACTAACAATGGGATTCTTGATTCTGCAGGCCGTACGATCTTCACGAGGAAAAATTGCAGCAAAATTAACATCTTCATCAATTGCATTCACAGGAATATTACTATCCACAGCTACAACATTATTTTCAACTCCCTGAGGCTGTTACAATCGGTTTATGACGATTAAAGATACAAATTAAGAAGGAAACACAGTCCATACGACATAATCAGAACAGTAATCAGTATGTTGAAAATAATGTTGAACAATCTGTTTCCTCGTATGGACTCTGTTTCCTTCTTAATTTGTATCTTTAATCGTCATTAACCGATTGTAACAGCCTCAGGGAGTTGAAAATAATGTTGTAGCTGTGGATGGTAATATTCCTCTGAATGCGATTGATGAAGATGTTAATTTTGCTGCAATTTTTCCTCGTGAAGATCGTACGCAAGTATGTCTATATATTTATCGGTTTTGATTAATGTTCTGATTATGTAGTATGGACTCTGTTTCATTTGTATCTTTAATCGTCATTAACCGATTGTAACAGCCTCGGGGAGTTGAAAATAATGTTGTAGCTGTGTATGGTAATATTCCTGTGAATGCGATTGATGAAGATGTTAATTTTGCTGCAATTTTTCCTCGTGAAGATCGTACGCAAGTATGTTCTTCGGCTTCCCAAAATTTTTTCCCTTTTATGGTTTATTTTCCTCAACGATTTGCATATATTAACGTGATGGGTGCCTGATCCATAATTCACGGTGAGCTCTTCCTGCTTCTACTTTTTTCCTTTTTAGGTTCAGATTCAGTAAGCGCTAGTCTAATCTAACTCTGTTGACTCAGCTCCCAATTGAGAATTATAATATATAACTCCTAATTTCCATAAGAGCTTGCAGATATCTGTAATATTATTATACTTCCTTTCCTATCAGTCTATCACTTTAATCATTCGGGATAATGAGTAACACGGGTTAAACAGACTCAGAACAATTGATGGAAAAAATTAGTTGTTTTATATACTTCCCAGAATTACCAGGAAGGAAAAGAATAGAACATTGTACAAGAATAAGCTTCCCTACAAAATTGTTTTGATGCCTAGGAACTAAGATATGTGAAGTGTATCACGATCTACTACTCATGCTAGAGATGATGTCGAGGAAGGTATCCTCAGGACAAGGAATCGTAAGCCCACCCATTGGATGATCAAATCCGAATTCTTCTTCAGCTTGACATAGCAGTTCTTGGAATGAATGGTCCTTCAAGTATGTTATTGGAAGGACAAAACGTTTCTTCTCGCCCTCCCCTACATAAACTGCAAAGTGGCCCTTAGGAACCTCACTTTCTCTGTTTGTTCTTGAGGAAGACCTTCTGAGGCCTCCTTGCTTCCCACGGAGAATGCGCCCCATACTGATTGCCATATTTCTTTAGCATGTGGAGGAAGTATTAAATGAAGAAATAGCTTTTGAATGCTGAAGCAATGTTTTTTTTTGTGAAATGTGAATAAAGTCTTTGAGTTTTGGTGGTGTTGAATACCAACTGGGATGTGCTTATATAGATCTTTTAGAAGGTGGAATAAGTGATATGAACTTGAGAGAGCTCAACCACTGTGTCATTACCACATGTTTTGTTTTCCAATAATGTCTACTGCCAGCTTGGTAGGTCACCATAAGGAGTGGTAGTTTGGTATGACACGTTCTTAAGGAAATCACAAATAGTTTCTACTGCCTCTGAACATTATTCCCCACAGACTCCAATGAAATTGAATAGACAGCTCATCCATTTATGCCATTCAAGAAGATTAATGGTATTTGCCCAGAAAATAGCTCATCTCATTTATTTGAATGTCTTCCTGATTGAATAGCTAAAAGGCCCCTTATGTCTAGTTTGCACATGGTTTTGCCTTCCTCAAGAAATGAAGCTTGTGGCAGCCTACTAAACATGTTAAATAGATGGCTTGCTTCTTCTGCATCCTGATAATCAGACACTGCAATCCATTCATTGTGAAATCTTCTGCTCTCTTTGAATTGATTCCAAGGAATTTGGTGCAGGGTTTCCTCTATATTTTGTGTTCAGCAGCTACTTTATATTTGTGCCCACCTGCTTCACCCAACCAAAAAGGGCTGAGAAGTTGAGAATTTGTAAGCATGCAAGAACTTAATAGTATTTTTGGTCACCAGCTTCTTATAAAGGTGGGTTGGCTTCTTTGTTTGGAATGTTAGAGAGATTGCCCCAAGAGAAAGGACAAACCATGCTGTTTGAGAGTTCCTGGATAAGAAAGCATTTTGGTTCTTTATTCAAGAACTTATGCTTGGAGTTCCGGAATCAGAGAAATGTATGAAAGTGCGGAGATTCAAACAACAGCATCGCAAAAGTTGAATTCAAAATGTGGCGGCTTTCACCGAATGCTTGGCAACAGACTGTGGCAGCCGCTTTCACCGAATCAATTATGTTGATGCCCAACAGAGTTTACAGTCTATCTTAAACTTTCTTGACTGTAACTGACAATGCATAGAGAAACCATGATTGTTCCTAGATGCAATCCGCCCAAACTTTCTGCTGAAGGTGCACTGCAACCTTTTAAGTACACCGGTCATGGAGGGATGAAGTTTTTAGTGTTTACATAATGTCATCATGTGAGCTCAAAGTAAGTGTATATGTATGTATGTATATATAGATTTTAGTTCTGGTAGAATGCGATCTTATGAAAGAAATAAAATGCATACGGATATATGGTGCTTTAGAATGTGAGATCTAAGGGCCATAAATTTTTTAAAGATAAGTAAAAATTAGAAAAATTGCGGTGGCATTTTTGTAATTAAATCAAACTTTGTAAAATGCACTAGGTGCTTTGTAAAATGCATCATGGTGAACTACCTCCTTTATAAAATGCTCTTATGCCAACGCTTATATTTTCTCTGTTAAATTGAACTAGTTAATGCCTTTTTGTGTTTGTGTTATGATATAAAAATGTAAAAGAAAAAAAAAATTGTACAAAAAAGGATATCGTTTCTTTTTCTTTCTTTGAAAATGTCGTATTAAGCTACATTAAACTAAAAACAATAACGAAAAAACAGGAAAAATTTTGTAGTGGTAAACTTGTAATCCTATTTTTAATTGTGCAACTATGTTTTCTCTTTTCATTTATCTTTCTTGTTTCCTAGACAGTAGTAAGAAAAACATAAAATGGTATTAAAATTAAAACAAATAAGTCGACCAAATGCTATATAAATAAATAAAAATAGTAATATTAAAAAAAACTTAAAATAAAAAGCCAAAAATTTATGAATTAAAAAAATGGGGAAAAGAAATATTTTATATTTTCATTTTAAAAGATAGAATTTAAGTTGATTATAAATAGATAAATATTAAATGTAAATAGTAATGATGTAATCATTCCATTGGGAAACTGCCACGTTGAAGGACTCAAAGGTAGGAACACTGCTCACCTGGCATGGGATGCATGGGATGTCTACATCGTTCTTCACTCTTCTCCATCTTTTTCAATTTTATCTTCAATTAATGTTACTTTCTCGCACTATTTTTCACAAATTATTCTACTCTTTTTAAGTTTTTTATCCTCATGATGACTTCTTCTTCTTGGAGACAAAACTGTGTTTGTAGATGTGATTGTGGAGGCGACACAGGTTCTGTTGGCGCGAGCACGAAATGAAAATACGTCAAAGCTGAGAAGGAGGAATAGAATGCTGAATAAAGATGAGATCAACTAATTCTAATTTGTTATACACTTGATTTTTTTGAAAATTATGTTACATTTTTGTAGTTTTTTTTTAAAAAATATTTATTATGTTCACCGTAGGTGGCCATGACCGTCTCGTGGCCGATTACTTTATGGTGAATTCGGTGTACACCAATGAATAATTGAAGCGCCGATTTCGCACGAGGTCAACCTGTTGGAACACACTTTACAAATGCGTTGAGCTAAAGTTTTGTTCGTTTTTATAGGTTTTGATAAATGACAAACCGTTGTGGAGATGAAGAATTTCATTGAACAACTCTAGGCGTGAAACAAGCATGAGACAAGATGCAAGAGAATCAAGAACAAGATCAAGATTTGAAGACTTAGTTGAGTCGGTCTTATTGTGATTAAAAACCAACAATCAAATCAAGTCTTGGTTTTCGAAAGTGAAAATAAATTTTATAAAATCATGAAACAAATTTTTATGCATCAAACAAATGTTTTTCATAAATATTTTTGAGCTTCCAAAACCCATGGTCATTGCCCAACCAAAAACCACAACGTTCGGTTATCGGCGTTCGGCGTAAATGTTTTTCATAATTGGTTTTGAGCTCCCAAACCCCTGGCCATTGCCCAACCAAAAAACATAATGTTCAGTTATTGGCGTTCAACGTTGGTTCTCAGTGTTGGTTATTGGCATTGACTTTTGCCAAATGATTTTTGATTTTATCTCTAGACACATTTAAAATTTTTCAAACCTTGAGTTTTCAAAAACCATAACATTTGGTTTTCGGCATTAGTTATCGGTATTCAGCGTTGGTTATTAACATTGGTTTTTTGTGTTCATTTCAACCAAGTGGTTTTCAATTTTTTATCTTTGGTTTTTACTACTGGGATTACGTAAAAGGTTACCAAACTATTTTTTTTCCAAAAACCACTCTTGGTTTATAGGTTTTGGTCAAAAATAATGAAAAGCATCCTTCACTTGGTAATCCGTAGTTTTCAGTTTCACCCTAAAGGCTTAGTTTTTAACATTTAACACTTGGTTTTTACTTTATATGGCACAAATAAGTGTTTCCAATAATTGATTTTCAATTTGGGAAACTTTAATTTTTGACATCAGTTTTCGGAACGGGTGTCGGTCCGACCGTTCCCGAAACTTTAATTTTTGACATACATTTTGCCCTCCCAAACCCCATCAGAGTTGGGTCACAACAAACCCAGTAAAGGGTACATTATTTGATGGCAAAACCAAATTTAGTGCAAAGTTTTTAACATTTATATTAGATGTTCCATTTTATCAAGGACCTGATATTTGATTTTAAGATGTCACTATAGGGCTACCCTGGTTTGTCTTTCTTAGTATCATTCTCTCTTATTTTTCATCTCTGCAAGTTCAAACCTTACAAATTACAGTACCCCTCCATCACTGACCACCAGGGTCCCCAACATTTTTTTCTTTCCCTTTTTTCATTTTGAAAATTTATAGGAAAGTTGTTTTGTTTTACCAGTAGAAAATACAGAGTATATTGGATGGTAATTTTAATCTTTACTACTCAAAGCTTCTCTGTAAGGCTTATATAAACCCTTATCCAAGACTAACACAA